TCTATTCATGTAGGACGTATGGCGTATACGTGTAGAGATCTTATAGACTAGTCGATATCTTCATAGCGCACAAAACATCAACTTACTATGAGGTTTTCAAGCCATTGCTTTATACAACAAGTTGTAAAACAATAAAGTCGTAAGTCTAGAAATGAAATGAATGATTCATCTTGTAATAACATAGGTGTTGGGCACGACAGAAGTAAAGGTAATCGCATTGCCGACTCTTTAGCCAAGGAAGCGGCTGGACTAAGAACTTTAGGACTCAGTGGCACCTACGGCCTGATGACTTCGACAATTGCGGAACTAGCCAAACGTAAGAAATAAACATGGCAAGCCACTGAAGCTCATAGAGCTTGTGTATGACAAAAAAAATGAAGAAATTAAAATGAAACAATAATTAAGTTGACACGATTTGTGTGTGATGTCAATTGAAAGAGAAAAATAAATAAAGATATCATGAACATGAATCAGTGAACATACATTACAAACTAAACTATCGGTCATAACATTCATCATAATGTATGATGCAACTATAGCTTTTCCGAAGAATTTCTCCCATTGCCAGATAAATATGCCTTGAAAGTTTTTTTTACCACCAAAAAAATTAATAAAAGGTGTGACAGTGCTCGACGTGAATCTTTCATAGGTGATCTTATTATTCTTGTCAAAAAAACCTGAAAACATGTGTAATGAAATTTTATACCGATATTTCAAGAATTGGAACTGAAAATATTGAATTGACTGATTTGACTGTCCTTAGATGTTTTTAGGTTTCGGGCGGTCCCTAGCTAGAGCCTTGATTTCATGTCGGCTTTACGATAGATATCAATCTGAATCGTTTTTAAATCTTGACCGTTAAAGTATCCTCGATTTTATGTACTCCTGCTTACTAGACAACCCACCATCCCAGCAATATTCTGATAAAATAACGAACTTACAGGGCGGCTCTACTGATTCTTCTGAATTCAGAAATTTAAACCGTTACAAAATATCCAGGAAAAATCTTAACAGTAGGATTTCCGACTGGCCACTGTCAACTAAGGAAACACCTCCATAATATGAGGTTTGCGGACACACCTCCATGCAAGTTGTATGAACAAGACGAGACTGTCAGGCAGGTCCTATGCGAGTGCCCGGAGTTATCGTCAATAAGAGAGTGTGTGTTCGGCGTGTCTTGGCCTACACCTGCCGATATAAAGGAGATGTCTCCCAGTGATCTGTCCACCTTCCTGGAAAGGACAGGATGGACGATGATCTAGGAGGACAACTCCTCGGGAGGATGTACAATTGCCATTCTTAGACGTATTGGTGAAGAGGACCGACACTAAGTGGGAAACATCTGTATACCGAAAATCCTCTCACACGGAACAGTATCTGAAAAACAAATCCAACCATAATCAATACACCAAAACAGGAATCATCAAGAATCTAGTGGATGATACTTTCGGGCTCTGTAATACAAAAAATACTCGAGAAGGAACTAGGCATCACCAAAAAAATATTCAGCAGAATACTTACTCCAAAGTGATAATGGAACAGACTGGCTCTACGTCAGAGGATTGTCGAAAATGATAAAGAGGATTGGGTCCAAGTACAACATCAGAACCTGCTTCAGATCCGGAAACACCATTCTTAGCAGCCTCACGAAAACCAGGTCACCCAACGCGGACTGCAATTCCAAGAATTGCATTTACCGGATACCCTCTGTGAGTGCAGCAAATCCTTTATCGATGAAACTAAGAAGCCAATAAAAGTACGCATTGCCGATCAAAAAATAAAACACACAGCAAGGAGAAACCAGCAAATCTGAAATAGTAGAGCATGTTTGGACTCGTCAACATATCATCAAATGAACCCAAGCTGAGATCATCCACATAAAGGAACACTGGTTTGAGAGTAAGTTCAAAGAAGCTGCATATATTCAGCCAAGCAAGCGTAGAAACACGTAAGATATGGAAAGCTGTAAGCAAGCGGGAAAACGGTAAACTCCCTGAAAAGTGGAGAGAGGGAGAAGGGGATTTGTGAAAGCGCTCGAATGACATATGAATAGTCATCTCTCGGAGGAATAGTCCAGTCATCAGCAGAAGACGATTGTATATACTAACAATCAAAGCGTCGTGACAATTTCTTTTTCTATGTTTTCATTGTTTTTTATTTTTTTATCCTGTGTTCAATTTCATCTTTTATCTTGATTGTTTTATTGGTTTTATTGTTTTATCATTTCATGTTTTATTGCTGAATATAATTGATATTTTAGCTATTCATTGTGAGTTCTTATGTTCTTCCATAGATGTCGAATCATATTACGAGTATAGACAATGGAAGTCCGAACTAATTAAATTCACCATGAAATATTGTCAACCAGTTTCAAACAAACGACTATTAGCTTATGGCTATTAATATTCGAGAACGACAACTGGGGGCAATTTTTTTTGAATTTCCTTCAATTTTTCATCAGCATCAATAGGGGTTTTGGCTCATTTTATTTCAATTTATTTCGTACTGACACTTTCTTCACGAGATTGACTGGTCTATAATGGTTTTGTACGAACTGTAATTGTCTGCAAAAATGTTGCCCATTGAATGAGGAGACATTAGCCACTTCTGTATCCGAAGGCATTCAAAATATTGAAAATAAAGATTAACGCTTCTGTAATATAGTTTTCGTATCCTTACTTGGTTTTCGATGTCGAGATCTATGTCTCCTTTGGGTATGCTACTCCGAAGAATGGTGCTGTTCAGATTTTTACACGGATTTTCCTATTAAGGGAAGTCTTAAATTCAGATTTCATGCGAAACGGAGGAGCTGTACGCATATTAATAGTGTGTGTAACTTCAGAGTGTTGCTGGAAATGCTTTGATAGGTTTGAATCTGAAAAGGAGCTATTTAGTAGAGGTATTATAGTGGTATACAAAGTTATACCATTGTATAAAGAGAGCGTATAAAGATAAACGAATCAGCCTGTGTGTAAGAATGAAAATATAAAATATGTTACTGAAGAAGTATAAATCAAAAAAAGTCATGTTTCCTTGCCAACGTTTCGAGTTAAATTTAATTCTTCTTCAAGGCTCCAAAAGTAGTTTTTCGTGTTGATAATATTACTTTTTTGAAAACCATTAGTTGCAATGTTTTTATTCTTTTAAATATGTACCTGAATGGCTGATGGTCATTGAAATAGTAATATTGTCAACACGGAAAAAATACTTTTCTAGCCCTGAAGAAGAATTTAATTGAATTCGAAACGTCGGCAAGAAACAATATTTTTTTAAGAAAACATTGATTCTGTTACCCAACCAACCTTTTTTTAGAAGAATTATTGGATCACTAAACTAATTACCAAAAATTGAAGTATTTTCTAAACCTTCATCCAGTGCGCACACTCCTTTTTCAATACATTTTTATCAATTTCTCATGTGAAATACCGTGTATTCTGGAATGAAAAATAACTCAATTGGATATAACTAACATGGGCTGAAAAGCCCCGTCTACGAACAAGCAATAGTCGCTGGGAGCCAAATCTTGCGAATACGGTGGATGTAGGAGCAATTCATGTAGTTTCGCCATTATTTTGATCGACTTATGACATGATGCGTTGTCTTGATGACACAATTTGTTTTCTTTGCCATATGCAGTCGTTTCTTCGCAATTTCGGCCTTCAAACGCTTCAATAACGCTATATAATATTCACTGTTGATGATATTTCCTTTCTCAAGATAGTCGATGAATATTACACCACGCACATCCCAAAATACCAAAGCTATAACCTTTCTAGTCGATTGTTGTGCTTTCGGTCGCTCTGGACGGGATTTGCCAGTTGATATCCACTCAGATAACAGTCGTCGTTTTGATTCCGGTGTGAAGTGATGGATCCATGCTTCATTCATTGTTACTAGTCTACTAGTTCAAAAAAACATGAGAAATAGAGATAAAGGTCCTAAAAATATAAGCGATAGCTCATTCGATTCAGAATATCACCTCTAGAAAAATTTTTTTTAAGGATTTTGGTGCAGGTAAAAAATTGCGATTCTTATCAACAAAATAAGATTTAAAAAAATTGTATTTTGTTTTTCGTTAATAACCCAAAAAATATTTTTAGGACCTTTATCTCTATTTTTCAGGTTTTTGAACTTGTTGATTTGTTATATTTAAACATGTCCATAGAGCTCTGAATCATCATGACGCTCTTATTTTTATTAACAGTGAGCTCGCACGGCACCTACTTTGAACAGAGCTTTCTCATAGTTGAATGTTCATGCAATATAAAGTAAAATAAAGTAGAATATACGAGTAGAATATCATGAAATTTCAAAAGCTTTTTTTTGAAGATTAGTACTAACTGAGGAAGCGGTGAATGCAAGACTAGTCCATCTATGAGTGAAGCCCGAAATTTTTCAGCTCAGATAGGTACTACTGAAGGAGTAGAAAACAAAAAAAAGTTATTTCTGAACATTGATATTTCCCAGAAAATCCTTCCTCGATATATTTTTATCAATTTCTCATGTGAAATACCGTGTATTCTGGAATGAAAAATAACTCAATTGGATATAACTAACATGGGCTGAAAAGCCCCGTCTACAAATAAAGCAAAACCTATGATGAAGAAAAATGCAATTACCGAAAAAAAAAATCAACTCAGATTGTAACACAGACTGTGTGTTGTCTCGTTACATTTTTTGTCTGATTTCTATTTGTTACGACCGGTTTTGGTTTGTTAAACTTTTCTCAAGTACACACATTTTGTCAAAACAAGTCCCTAAATATAAAATGACATAGACAGGTACCTGCAATAGTTACCTGAAATAACAAATATTACCTGAAATATCGATACCAATACTGAAACAAAAACTATTTATCTTCTATATTCATCGACCAGTAGTTGGGTTTGTGGTAGTAGTTGTTATGGAAATTAACTTATTATGCAATATTTTTTGGTACTGAGAAGACATGAAAATGAATCAAACATTTCCCACAATAAGCAGTTACTCTGATCAGACAGACGATTCCCCAACCACAAAAGTTTTTTCGAAGTAAAGTCAACAATTTGGCATTGGAGGGGAGACAGAGAACATTTGACAATTGGCCAAACACACAACTATCTAAGGGAGTGCCCGTCTCTGCCGCTTTAGAATACACTGGACAAGGTGATATTGTTTTGTGTCGTTTCTGTAAGATGAAAGGATACAATTGGGTATCTGGAAATAATCCAACGGTTGACCATCGATAATGGAGTACTGACTGTCCATTCATTAGAACTGTAGAGAACGGCACGCCTGGGAGTAATAGAAACGCAGATACTTGTGGACTGTATGGCATAGAGGTTCTTTCAAATTACTTCCCGGAGGTCAGGAGATCCATTGATTTGCAACAGTTGGGAATTCACAAAGGAAGTGGACCACAGAACCAGGATAATATAACAGTGAATAGTCGACTAGCAACTTGCGACAGCGACACCTGCCGATTTGACAGAAGTGGAATTTTATCATACTGGTGTGGGTGACCAGACGCTTTGTTTCTACTGTGGTGGTGGCCTAAAAGACTGGAAAGAATCTGACGAACCCTTGGAACAGCATGTCCTTTGGTTCAGCAAGGGTGTTTTTTTAAATTTGAAGAAAGGTAAAGGCTTTGTCGAAAAGGTCAAACAGAGGGTAGACTCTCTCTTGTCGCTCCCCGGTACAAGTCAAGACAAGCCCAAATAGCTAGAAAAACCTAAAGAACCCTGCAGTGGGACTCCAGAAAAGACTGAACAGAAGTAACAGAAAAGACTTTGTGTGAAATCTATTATAAAAACGAACTTGGTCCCGTATTCTTTCCTTGTGGAAATGTTGATGCTTTATAGATTGTGCTTCTGCTTTGACTTGTACTGTCTGTAGGAAACCTTTGGAAGTGGTCATTCGAGCATTTCTCTCATAATTTTTCCATTATTCAATTTTCGTTCCTCAGATCAGTCAAGTTGAATTTGATTCTTGAAGGCTTTTTAAAAAGTTTCGTCAAAAATTAATCTTTTCTTGTTTTAGGATTAGATGTAAATCTGTTTTTATACAATCTGAGTACAAATTCTACATAATTTTTTAGTTTCAAGGTTGAGGCGCTTATAAAACATACTTAAAGTTCATTAATGACTGCAAATCATATCTTTCGAACACCAATACCTATTAGTTATCAAGTTCTCGTGAGTGGCAGTTCCTTTTTAGAACATTTTATCATAAAACTGACACAGATATGTAACTGTATGTTTGTGTGTATTTTCCCTAAGTATGCTAATAATATGATATGATTATAATATATCAAGATTACCAACTATTGATCCCCAAAAACCTACTTCTGGATTTTTCCAGCTAACAATGGATCCTGAACTAGTTGTCAAAATTCACAAATTCAAGAGGGCAGAGCTGCATAGTCCTAGTTGATCATTGAGAGTTTTGAAATTGGGGTTTTTATACAATTTATTCATTTTCCAAAAGAAAATTGGTAGAAATCAGACCAAAGTTATTTTATCTATCCTATATTCAATATGAATTTTCAGTAAGATAAAATGGATAACAAAATTTGAGAACTGAAATGGAAAAATGAGTGGTTTCAAGAAAATGAAAAACAATCACATGATATCAATGTTGGTACACTCTTCCCGGGCATATGTTCACAGTTTCAGCTGTCTGGCATGTTTACTTTTTTGGTGAGGGGTATACAAGCTAGAAGTTTTGCGTGTTCGACAATGTTGTGCTATCGAAGAGAATGGATCAAAGAGGCTACATAAAATTCTGTGTAAAAAATGGAATCGAGTGCTGAAAAACACGTGAAATGTGTACAGTGGCATACGGTGATTGTACTCCGAATCAGAAAAATATTCACAAGTGGTACAATATTTTCACAGAAGGTCGAGAAGATATGAACGACGACGTTTGCCCTGAACGCCCCAGCACATCAACAACCGATGAAAATGATGAGGAAGTGAAGAACATTGTTAAGGAGAATCATCGAATCACTATTGGAGTAGTTGATGAGGATGTCGGCAAATCGGTTGGCTCATGTCATGCAATATTTTTGTGAATTTTGGGCATGTAGCGTGTGGCAGCGAAGTTCGTTTCAAAAATGCTGAATTTTGAAAGGTCATTAACAGGTGACGAATCATGGGTATATTGTTATAACATCGAAACCAAGCTCCAATCCTCCCAATGGAAGAGCTCAAGCCTAAAACATACTCATCAAATTCGATAAACTATCAAAGTTTTGCTCAATATTTCCTTCGAATACCATGGGATAGTGCATTAGGAGTTCTTGCCACATGGTCGTACGGTCAATAAGCAGTATCACCTTAAAATTATGTGCCGCTTGCAAGCGACAATATGAATATGCAATATGAAGAAAACGTCTGGTAGTATCGTCATTACTTGTTCGCAGTATTTTGGCAAAAACAACATCGGAATCATACTTCAGCCACCGTATTAACCAGATTTGCCCCCCTGCGACTTTTTTCTGTTCCCAATATTAAAGAGACCCATCGAAGGACGCGTTTAGCGACGATTCAGGAGATAAAAACCGAATCGCTGAGAGAGCTCCAGGATATACCAAAAAATGGATATCAGAATTGCTCGAGTTTGGAAAAAACATCTCTGAGGGGGAATACTCTGGAGGGGAAATAAAAATTGATGAGACAAACAAACAATTCACCTTATTTTTTAACAGACCACGTATGATAAATGGTTCAAAAAAAAAACAACCGTCAGGATTCACAGCATCGAAATGAAAAGGTGAGAATGACCAAGGACATTGGTGTAGAACGTAAATAACGTCAAATAAAACAAAACCTATGATGAAGAAAAATGCAATTATCGAAAAAAAAAATCAACTCAGATTGTAACACAGACTGTGTGTTGTCTCGTTACATTTTCATTGCATCATCAGGAGATGGTCCCTGATGAAGCCAACTTGGAGAGCGAAACGATTCGAATAAAATAACATTCAATTACAATTAAGAATGACATGGTTACATGATATGAAATGAGTAAATTTGAATGTTACACGAAAATTGCGTGTTGCTCCATTGCAAAGGTGCACACAACCTAATTATTAGTTATTATATTTGTTCATAAGTAATTGTCATGGTAGTATGTATTGCTTTAGAATACGAAAGCTGGATGTTCATCATTATGCACTGTATAATTTCGTGAAATTGCATGCATCGAGACCAAAGTCGAGTTCATTTAGTTCTTACCCTAACCTAATCTAAAACGAATGGAACTTGAACTTCACACGTCCATCGCAGTGAGCATTTTTTTTGTATTAAGTTGTTTCTAAAGTTTTGTCCATTTCCATGAATCCACTATAAACTGTAACATATCAGTTAATACCCATTCAATACACTTCATTGTATGATTTTCACTATAAAGGGTTTTACAAAAACCACGACACGTGTTTTGCTATACAGTAGCTTTCTCAAGCGTTATTACTAAGTTACTTCTAAATTACAACTATGTTGATACTCTAACCTATTACCTACTTGTTTGAGTACTTTCTTATACTCTTGCACTACTTGAAAAGTTCAAGTATAGATTTATTAACTACATGAGTTAATTAAATTTTTCGAAAGTACCGTAAATATACTTAACTATTCTTACCTGGAAATAAACAGATTCAATAATGGTGAATGATTTTTTTCCGTTTGATCTTTCATAAGATATTGGGAGTTTTAAATTTTTTCATTTCAATACTCTCCAACAGGTTAAGTTTTGAACCTTTCTTCTGGAAAGAGAGGGGCTTGAACTGATGACGGAACTTATGTCCCTCTGTGACCAAATGAGTGGCATATGTGGAGTTTATTTTTTCACTCTGAAAATTATTTCTGTGTTCCTTCATGCGGGCTTTGAACGTTCTCCCAGTTTGACCTATATAAAACAACGGACATGACCCATATGATAATTTATACACTCCCGTTTTTTCTGAAACTGAACATTTACCTTTGTTATTTTTAATGCGAATGCCCAAATTGTTGTTGGTTTTGAAAGCAATATTCACAGCTCTGCCGTGCAGAAAAATGGGAAGATTCGTAGTGGGTTGGCCTAAGTAGGTTCTGGTTCTATATAACTTTCAACCTCATCTCTTTGAACTGGGTAAACTTCCTCTAAACATTTATCAGTTTGTGGATCATACTGTTGAATGCTGATTCTTTCTGCTATATAGGTGGGTAGACGAAATATGAATGATAATATATGTATGTGTTGGTTTACGATAAATTGAAAAATCGTGTTTATAGTCAACTTTCGTTATTGTCAAGTCAAAAACATTCAGAGTCCTCCTTCTCCATCTCCATGGTGACTCAGTGTCACTATAGTCATGACTCATGAATCAAAACTGATTCCACTCAAAACCAAATGAAAGTTTCAAAAATTTTTGAACACATGTCCGTTTCTAAGTTGAAGTTGTGGTCAGTTTTTCATTGAAATGCACTGTAGAATAGTTTTTGAATATTCTACAAACTGTAAAGAGTTGTTGACATAATGCTCAACATCGTTGTTTACTTGTGAGCTCAAACATTGACTGGAAATATTGAAAATTGTCGTGAATAAGAAAATCGCTGCGAAAAAAGCAAGGTTCAGTTCAAGTACACTAATTAAGTTCAAATGTCATACGACGTGACGTCAATGATCTTTATCATTGGTGGTAAATTGTTTATTGAATGTCGCGACCATAATCATTACATATTTACATGCACAATGATGTACATAAATTGGTCGTTACATCGTTGCCAGATGGCGAAAATTGATGAAAACAGTTTTAACAACGCTATGATTTAACTGTAAACTTGAGGTCTTCTCGTGATACATCCTCGAAGTAGGACTGAACGACCTGTGTTTCTGCAATTTGACGTTGTTAGCGTTCGGTGTTTTTGTAAAGACAAAACACAAGCACTACAGGAAAAACCTCAAGGCGCTCTAAAAGCGGTGCCTGTGCTTAAGTAGCGATTCACAGTGGATTTGAATTTGCTGGAGACTGATTTCATAAAGAAACATAAAGGTTACTTTAACTTTAAAGTTGGCTGTTATGCGGTTAGAGTGATTTATAAAGAATTGGGGTTTAGCACTGCAAAGATGGCGTAATATGCACTCATAGATTCTCCTTACGCTACGGAATACCGTTTTGGGGAGCATGCAGTCCAACTTTATTCAAAAGTCTATTAATTTTACAGAAAAGAGCAATACGGTATATAGGAAACCTTAAACCAAGAGACTCCTGCAGAACCTTCTTCAAAAAACATAATATTCTAACGGTAACTGCATTATTTATACTGGAATCTGTGTGTTTAATTGATGAGCATATATTAAATTTTGCTGCATCCTCTTCCCATTATAACACCCGAAACTGCAGACACACTCTGAAACTTACTGTGCCAATCGAAAACATTACCAGAGTCCATCTTTTATAACGGTGGAAAAATGTACAATCATTTGCCTATGGACATAAGATCTGCCAATATAAATGACTTCCGATTCAGGAAGTTACTCAAACAATTTCTATCTGATAGACCCTATTATAGTTTGGATGAATATTTTAACGATAGCATTCAACTGACTCACGCATATTTTTTATCTTTACTTATTGAGGAGCTCTTAAGTTGTTACTTTTTATGTCTACTCTTTTATAAACTTGACTTTTACTCTTTTATATATACATATCTTCCATATCCTCCATTTTAACATAG